GTGATGGAGGAGAAAGAAGGGTTGGGGTGGTGGTCTGCTATGGCGGACGGGTGTGGGTGATGGAGGAAAGAGAAGGGTTGGGGGGGTCCGGCTATGGAGGATGGGCGTGGGTGATGGAGGAGGAAGAAGGGTTGGGGAGGTCCGGCTATGGTGGACGGGTGTGGGTGATGGTTTGCTTGTCCCGTGGTCCGCGACCGATCCTATTCTACCGCCCAACTCCCTATCCCTCATGCCTCTCCCGTAGGCCGTTGGTTTTGGCCTCACGCGCCCCCCTTGCAATAGTGAAGACATTCTTTTCAGAACCGTAGATTCCTAGGAGAGGAAGCAACAAGAAGTGATCCGTCAACACTTTCCCAAGCATTTAGAGCCGCAAAACGGACAATGCGATCAGCACCCTGCCCCGGGGATTGAACAGCGAAGTATTGCTGGGAGAACACCAGCCTACTCATGCACATAGGACAGCAAACAGACAATGTGAACAGCATCCCACCGCAGGGGTTGAACAGCGAAGTACTACCAGGTGAACAGCGACCTACCCATGCACCCAAAACAACAAAAGAACGATGTGAACAGCACCTTACCCCGGGGGTTGAACAGCGAAGTACTACCCGTTGAACAGCAGCCCACCCATGCACATAGAATCAGCAAAAGAACAATGTGAACAGCATCCTTCCCCGGGGTTTGAACAGTGAAGAACTACCGAGTGAACAACAGCCCACCCATGCCCATAGATCAGCAAAAGAACAATGTGAACAGCATCCTACCCGGGGATTGAACAGCGAAGTACTACCGGGTGAACAGCAACCTACCCATGCCCATAGATCAGCAAAAAAATAATGTGAACAGCATCCTACCCGGGGACTGAACAGCGAAGTACTACCGGGTGAACAGCAACCTACCCATGCCCATAGAACAGCGAAAGAACAATGTGAACCGCATCCTACCCTGGGGGTTGAGCAGACAAGCACTACCGGGTGGACAGCAACCTACCCATGCACATAGAACAGCAAGAAAACAATGTGAACAAAATCCTACCCGAGGACTGAACAGCGAAGTACTACCGGGTGAACAACAGCCCACCCATGCACATAGAATCAGCAAAAGAACAATGTGAACAGCATCCTACCCGGGGACTGAACAGCGAAGTACTACCGGGTGGACAGCA